GTTAGGAAACAAAACTTCAAGAACACGGCCACACAGCCCGGAAGACCCACACCAGCCACTGCGAATTATGTTTATTAAAGCTTTCATAGTCATGCTAATCTTATATAACTCTGAGTTATACCCTCAGTCAGTACACTTCTGTATTAAGTAACAAGGTTAAAACAAAGAATGTAATAATATGCAGTGGTAACAACAGGGTAATGATGAACCACGTAGCAACAACAATGGTGAAAATTCCTTCCTAACTTTAAATGGAAATCATCTAAATTGCAAATGGGAAGTAGGATCAAATAATAGCCAGAGGAGGTGTAATACAACAGATGATGCTGACATGCTTATAAAATATAAGGGGCAAAATATTGACTATTGGGGGACATAGAGGTATCCCTCTACCCCCTTTTACTCCATTCCCCCACCCCCCACCCCAAGCATGAATATATGTATGGAAAGGTAGAGATATAAAAACTAGGTACAGTTTTTGTATTTTCACTCATTTTTTAAAAACTCCAGTCCAAAATGTTCTTCTGGTTGCCAAGTTTGAGCTTTGGCACCCTGTACAATTGCCATCTGCCTTCTCTCACCTAGATGCAGGGAAGTTGCCTTTCATGGCGATGCTACGGAACCTGCGCAACATTTTGAGGTCTGGGGTGAGCGAGAGGCACCATAAATGTCTCTTAAAGCGCCTTGAGGATAAGGTAAGGCTGTCTGTACCAAGGTAAGGGATGCAAGGTAGCTGTTTCAGGCCAGGTCAGGCCCCAAATCTGTTCAGGTCAGGGTTGGGTATGCTTGCTGGCAGCTGCCTGCCCAAAGTGTTGTTCAGAAAGTGGCCTTCTCTGTTTCAGGGAGAGGTGTGAGAGTCAGGATAGGGGGCATTAGCGCTTGTCCCTGCTAATGGTGGTCCAGACAAGGACAGGAGTGGGAATGAAAGAATTGTCTGTCTTAAGGTACTCTGGGCTGCCTAACAAATATGCATATGCAGATTGGGTAGGTGGGGTTATGAAATTGGAGCAGGCTGAGTTCAAAGTGTCCTTAAATCTGTGTGAGAATGAGTGTTTGTACAGGAAGTCCTCATGTAGTGACTACAATCGGGACTGGCAACTTGGTTGTTAAGCGAAGTGTTCACTAAGTGAAACCATGACTGTGCTTATGACCTTACTTCAGCTTTCCTTTGCTTTACAGACCTGCAAAGGTTGAAAATGTAAGGATTGGTTGTAAAGTTATTTTTTCATCACTGTCGTAACTGCAAACGGTTGCTAAACAAGGTAGTTGCTAAACGAGGACTACCTGTATGTGAGAAAGGAGAGAATTTAGAGGACTGATGGCTAAAACCTCTTGCATTAGATCAGAAGCAGGGTGCCTTCAGTGGTTGGAACTGCCCTTTTTGAGGGTGTGGGGAAAAAACCCAGTGGATAACAAGTGGGCAGAGCTCTGATGTAGATAGATGTGCATCTATTTTTCTTTTGTGAGAATTCACTATATATTTATATATTTTTTCGTGGTAAATATATAGATTGGTCTGCTCTGCAGTTTTGGAGTGTTTTCTGCCTGCATTACAGGCACTTCTGTTGCTGATTTTCAGTAGTTTTGTTTAGGGGGAGGTTTGAGCTCTATGGAGGAGAAATTGGAGGGCTCCCTATGTTCCTGAAGCCTGATTACCCACCGGGGTGGAATCCCCTTGTCCCTCTCACTAGATGGATTTTGCGCAAACATAGTAGGCTACAGCGCAGCTCCGTTGCTTGTGGGTTGAGGGGTTATGCTATTGTCTAAGCATGTTGCATTGAAGCAGACTATCGGATTAAACCATAATAAGGTCTAGCTGAACCCTGCTGTTATGTTCTGTGAATCCTGTGTGGACTCATCCTTTATATTTTTTTTCCATCATTATGAATGGCAGCCATTATTTTTTCTTATACTGTACTTCAAGGAGACCATCAAAATGTGAAGAAGTGGGAAATACCTGGGACAAACCATGGTTTGCTGCCCTAACAATATGGGAAAAGAGTGCTCAGGCTTTCACTGATAGATTTCAGAGTACAAGAGTGGCAAAGAGAATACGTTTTTGTACTCTCAGATTTCCCTGTGATGTAAAGGACCTTTCTTCCACGTAGCCTCCATATACAGACTTCAGTTCTTCCTAAAGAGGTCTTTTTACTAGGTCATTCAACTTCAACCTAGACATTGTCCATTTGTGTAAACTTCAACTCCCAGAATTCCTCAGCCAGCATGGCTATTCCTGAGTCTTTTGGGAACTGAAATCCACACAACTGGCAGGTGGTCTTCTGGGAGAAATTCATAGTAGAGTATTCTGTACTTTAATGTTAATAATTTCCCTCCTGCTTCTGCCTTTGGCATTTTTTTGTCCCTCCAGGACTCTGTCATCCACAGCAGGCAGCTTCCTTTTCGGTTCCTTGCTGCATACAAAGTCATTTTGGATCTGGAAAAAGATCTTAAAGAAAAGGGTGAGGAGTACTTATCTGGGTTGAATGGCTGGGAATTGTTTCTTGACATTGTCAAGTTCCTCCTAAGTCCTTTTGTCCTGTGGGGCTGTTCTGAATTTTTTTTAATACATCCTTGTGAGCCAGTTTTTTAATTTAGTGTTTCTACGTTACATGGGAAGATAGTATGTGTATGGTTTCAGAGTTTGAACTGTTACACAAGAAGGAAGCAACATCATTTGTTTCACGCACATGGATGCATGATCCAACCTTCTGCTGCATGACAGGGCCAGATTTTTGTAGAAGGATGGTGGTGCCTGATGGAAACATAAGAAAGCTGTTTCAACAAAGCAGCTACGTTTCCCTCAGTTCTAAATGCTGCATTCAGACTTGCAAAGGGAACGCAGCAGAGAAAAAGAAGTGGGAAGGGTGAAGGCAAGAGAAGTGGATGAAGATAATTAAGATGAATTATGAACGTCAAAGAAGGCAGAAAAGTTGATGTGGTTTTCTAAGTTACCTATAGATAGAAGGATTTATTTTCAAATGGGGAAAAAGGGATCCTTCCTTCCTTCCTTCCTTCCTTCCTTCCTTCCTTCCTTCCTTCCTTCCTTCCTTCCTTCCTTCCTTCAACATCTTTTTCATCTTTTAGAGGAACCCTTCCCAAGTAACATACAGATCATCAAAAAGATCCTAAAGCAAATGAAACTACCAGGGGAATCTGGAAAACCCCGATATCTACGTAGCTGCATGGAAGTCCCGCTAATCTTCCAGATGGTGAAGAAGGAGAAGAAGAAACTGCTTAAATCCAGGTACTGGTGGTGTAGCCAGGTCTATCCTTGCCTTCTTGCATAGTGGAGGTTCTGGAGATGGAGAGTGAAGTATTTGGTGTAGGCTTTAGACCATGGTCACTAAACCCTGAAGCCCAACACTGCCCAACAAAGTATTTATTGGCTTGATGGGGTCTAAGGTCAGTCTAATCCAGCTTCCAGAAGCTCCCAACCAAATGTGACTTCTAGGCTAAGGGTGCTGCATTTATCTGCAGATCCTTGATTCCAAGGTACATTGTTATTGGGTATGGGGTTCACTTAGTACCTTTGCTAATATCCACTGAGGCACTATTTTCTGCTGCGGGGGCTCTTGACATCCCTTGTAGCAATGAAGTTCTTGGATGGATTTGGTTCTTTTCCCCACCACAGATGGCTTCCTTCTACAAATCCACAACCCTGACCTTAATCCGCCTGAGCCAAGCCACAAGCAAATAGTATTTTCTTTTTCTAGACTTTCTTCTTTCTCATTGTTGTATCTTGCAGAGACCTCCACTACACCCACGACCTCCTGCAACGCTACTGTCAGGCTTTAGAGACAGCAGTTGGATTATCAGTTCAGAATAACGTGCCCCCCATTCCTGGACGAACTCTCATCTTGATCTCCTGCTGCTATGCGATGGGAAAACCTTGCGTTCAAGGCCGGAGTATGTATTGCCCCACTTCTGACCAGAAGGACTGCAGTGAACAGAAGAGGAAACCCATAACGGTTGGTAAAAAGTTATCAATTGTCATTGAGGTCTTCCTCTTTTTTTGTCCTTATTTTGCTCAACCTTATTATAAGGGCCTTCTTATAAGCATGAAGGTTACTTTAATGCGAATCAATTTCCTCGAGCCCATTTAAAAACAAATGATCTGCACCCCTGGCAAAATAGGTATAAACTTTTGCAGTGGAGATGGGCAATAAGGGGCCGAGGGAGGACCGTTTATTGTCAATCACATTGATGGAAATTGTAGTCTGGCAATGTATAGAAGTCTGCAGGGGCCCGCCTTGGATTATCTGCAGATATCCGTCACAGTTGTTTTATCTTCAGATATTTATACTTAATAAAAGCATTTATGTTACTTAAGCAACCAGGATGGTTTGCTAGACTTTAATGCACTTTGTACATTTATGCACTTTAAACAACATCAGCACCCCAATAATAGCCTAAAATCTACAAACTAAAGCAACATAATTGAGCGAGCCATGGAGGCCATAAAGTCCAACCCCTGCTTAGGGCAGGTGTTTCAGCTTGAACACATCTGGGGAAGAGGACTCTGCTATCTCTTTGAGTCATTGGTCCCATCCTTGAACTACTCTTATTATTAGACATTTTTCTTCCTAATGTTCATTCAGAATCTGGTTTCCTGTAATGTAAATTTAATATTCCATCTCTTGCACTGTGCATGGACAAAGAACCTGTCCTGTCCTTCTCTGGGACCCCTTTTCAGAGATCCTCCTCCTTCACTACTCAAGGATAAACCCTTTAAGTTGCATCACTGTCTTCATAGGATTTAATGTCTCTTGTCTGGTCATTCTTGCTGTTCTTCTCTGAATCTTCTCCAGTTTCTCTGAAACCCTTTTAAAAGTGTTGGACCCAGAACTGGGCCCAATCCTTGAAATAGGAGCTGATCAGTACAGATTGAAGTGGAAATTAGCCCTCTTTAAGCGTGACATTCATGTGTCCAGTTGAGCACGTGAGATGTGGGGAACAATTTGCTTATGGTGTGAACTCAGAAAGCAGACGAATTTAATAACCAGCTTAAACAAGTTGTGTTAATGCGGTTGTAGAATTATGGATCTGAGAAATGTAGAGTCTGCATTCCGTTTCCCCGTTACAGGAATCCATATATTCCAGACAGATCCATATATTCCATCCTCTGCTTGATCAGATTCAGTGGAGAGAAGCCCACTCTCTGAGTAAATTGGTTTCACTGTTGACTGCTCATATTATTAGGGATTTTTTCTCTGATAGTTTCTATTACATTAGATCCAATAGACAGAGGACCAATAAGAGAAAATATTGAAGCTCTCTTGACCAGTGTTTCTCAGCTTTGGCAACTTGAAGCTGGCTGGGGAATTCTGG